CTGCAGGCCGGAGGGCAGGAGCTGGCCCAGTGCCTCTGACGACAGCAAGGCTCAAGCACACAGGATCCACATTGACCCTGAAGCCCAGGTGTGTACAGACATGGCTTGGCCTGGCCTGGCCCGGGCCAGCATGGCCCAGGGGAGAAGGCCTAGGCTTGCTCCACAGGTTCGGCAGCACCGTGTCTTCCCCGTGGCTCTCGGGTTCCAGGACAGAGACCAAAGCAGAAGGCTTCTGTGAGCCGGGCCCATACCCCATCCCATGTTCCCCAGGGGATGCACACGTGCAGGGCCTCCATCTCTCCTCCAGGAAATCTGGATTCTGGACAAAGGTGCTGTTCCCGATGGGTAGGGGCCGGGCCAGACTGTGGCTCGCAGTCGCCGCCCACCCAGCTCGAGGTTTCTCCAGGGCCCAGTGATGCCAGACTGGAAAGACATCTCCAGGCTTGCTGGGCGGGAGTGGGATGGCAGCCCTGGCAGTGGAGTGGTCTTAGGCTGTGGTCGCTCCTCTGGCTCACCCTGGGATAGGGCTCCCACGGCTGCAGTTCCTCCTGGCCATCCTGTGACTGCACCCATCAGGCCTCAGGCTGCAGCCTGTCTGCTCAGTTGCCCTTTAGAATGTGACAGGAGTCACAGCCATGGTCCTGTCCTCAAGGAGAGTGAAGGGACCCGGCTGCCATGAGGGGAGCTCGTTTTGGCCATGAGTGTGAGGTTAGCCAAGGCTGAGGTATCCAGATCCAACTAAACACCTCTGGGCTACAGAATTTGGACACAGCGGGGGCCGGCTGATCTCTGATGGAGCCAGGACTGTAAAACCCAGTGTGTGCTCCTGTGGCCTCCTGGCCTATTTCTGTCCCCTCCCTCAACATGGAAGAAGGCCAGGGCAGGGAGAGCAGGCTTCGCTAAGCAGAGAGAAGGATCTGCCCAGGCCTCTCGCTGGCATCCCTGAGGCCAGGCACATACCACCTGCCAGCGAGTGTCCACTGTGGTGGGCAGAGGCACTAAGAGGTTCTGGGATGGTGAAGCCAGGGGGCAAAGGAGCCCAGAGTAGGTGCATGACTCAGCAAGGGATTGGAGAGGGCTTCCTGGAGGAGGAGGTATCCAAGCCAAGATCCGCAGGCCTAGGAAAAAGAAGACAGGCAAAAGGGGATGTGTTCTCAGGAAGCACATACAAAGGCCTAGAGGTGAGACTGCACCATAGGATCAGAGAACAGAGATCCAGGGGGGCAGAGAGGGCAAAGTGGGAGGTTGCTCTGTGCAAGCCCCTGCTGTTCTTGCGGGCATTTATGGCCAGGTCCGTGTCCCAGAAACTCACCCAGGTGGCCCCGTGGACATGAGGCCCTAGTGCTGGGGGAAGGGGGAAGATGTCAGCCCGGACTCATCAGCCAGGCTTGACAGCCAGGCAGAAGGGAGCAGCATGGAGTGGCCTCCAGCTCCTGTGTGAGGCCAGCGTCCATCAGGGTGCCAGTGCCAGGATGGGCAGGACGGGGAGGCCCAAGCTTTGCAATGGTGAAGCTCAGCTGTGCCAGGCTTCCAGGAGTGGCTCAGGGCCAGTGAGCCTGGGAGCCAGGCCGTGAAGCTGCACCCTCTGCCCCCACACTTACCCTCACCGATTCCCTTGAAAACCAGGGTGCCAATGGCTCAGGCAGGATGGGAGGGATTTTCCATAAGCAAGACAGCCCCTCCACTGCTGCCCTCCTTTTGTGCTTAAAAGGTCAGGGGCTCCATGGGTGGCGACAAAAACACCCCACTCCACCCCCGCTTGGGCTGTGTCCTCACTCACACAGACACAGGGCCCATTGTCCCCATGCTGCTCCCACCCCTCTGCCTGCAGGGGTGCAGGGGGGAGGGGGACTGGCTGGAGCCATCAGAGGAGGAAGAAGCACAGCTGGCCCCAGGACCAGCATGAGATGCCCCTGGCAGCGTCCCCCATAGCCCCCAGTGGGATGAGACATGGCCAAGTGAGGCTTCGGGCCTACCTTAGGAGGCTCTCCTCCTCCCAGGCCTCCTGTGGGAACGGAGGCTCTCAGCCCAGGCCAGGACAGAGGAAGGGTGAGCATAAGGGAAGGTCTCCAGAAAGGTGACAGTTAAGCTGAAAACCAGGTGATCGGCAGAAGCAAGCCAGTGGGGCAGGCCATCCTTGCACGGGCAGCCCGTCCTCTCCAGACAGCAGAGAGCCCACTGAGCTTTAGCAGCCAGGCCGGTGGCAGGTGGGTAGCACAGGGGAGCTGGGGCTAGGGGAGCCGGGGCACAGGGCAGCCGGGGCACAGGGCAGCTAGGACACAGGGCAGCCGGGGCACAGGGCAGCCGGGGCTAGGGGAGCCGGGGCACGAAGAGCCAGGATAGG